CTGTTGCTCCAGTCGAAGGGAGAAGTTACTCCGCGGGACCCAGGAGAAATGGGTCGGAATTCTGTGTTCTCAAGCTGAGTTTGTGCTAATTTCCCCCTTTTTCCAGTGAAAAACGAAGAAGGAAAAGTGGCAGTGAGGATGAGAGGGAAGAGGAAGTTTTACTGACTTTGTCACACCCCACCTTGCCCCTTTTTCTCCCTGAATATTCCTCCAATCAGGGGAAATCCTAATTAGGCACTAATTACCCCTGTCAGATCTGTGCTGGCCAGGCCGTCTGCCTGCAAGGAAGTCAGATTTATTGGAGCTCCTTGTTAATTACTCCTGATTAACCGGGTGACTCTTCCAGAACTTTTCCATTCATTCCTGGCCTCTGCCAATCCCTCAGCTGATTTCCAGCCCTGGAAAATGCCTGGAAATTCCTTGGAACGCCTCTCTGGGGACAGATTTTGTGATGTGCCATGGAAAGCTCAAGGGACAAATGTTCCCAAAGGAGAACTATCAGAAAATCAGGGAATTGCTGGGATTGGAAAAGCCCAAATTGGATCATCAGAACCAGAAAGCACCGACACAGAGCTGGATGCAGAAACCGCAGGAGCAGAGGGGAAGGTGAAGCTCAAATTAAACAGGAATATTTAAAGTTGGATCAGCTCTAATCCCAAAGCCCTGGACACGGTGGAAAGATTCCTGGGAACTCTGGAACACCGAGTCCAGATCCTTGAGGAAAACAAGAGTTCACTTGGAGAGTGAAGGGCTGGGCTGGAAACCCTTCCCTGCTCCATGGGAAAGATTTCAGAGGAACCTGAGTTAAAGTTTCTTTTAATGTTCCCCCAGGATCATCTTTCCTCCGCTTGACTCCCAAATCCTGGCAAAATGTTGATATTATTGGGAACTTTGTGTGCTCTGGGGCTGCTGGAAACTTGGAAAAGAGTGGGAAAACTTGGAGGATTTGAGTTCACATGCGGGGATGGGAAAGGGGAAAAGGAGGGGAAAGGAGTAAAAGGTGGGAAAAGGGAAAAAAAGAGGAAAAAAAGGGGGCAAAAATGGAAAGGAAAGGAAAGGAAAGGAAAGGAAAGGAAAGGAAAGGAAAGGAAAGGAAAGGAAAGGAAAGGAAAGGAAAGGAAAGGAAAGGAAAGGAAAGGAAAGATTGTTTTATGTCCAGTTGATCATTGGATGTCCTTGGGTTTAATCCCAACACCAAGCCTGGTCTGTAACTCTCAGCAGAGCATTTCTGGAGCTGCACTTGGAAGCTGGATTTGAAATCCATTCTGCAAATTGGACAGGAGTCCTGAGCTGTGTTTCAGCTCCAGAGCTGCTCTGCCTTTTCACTGCTCCGAGTTACCCTGAGTCCCTCCTGCCTCGTGCCAAGGAATATCAAATCCACACTGGAGCTGCTTCCAGCTGTCCTGCCCTGGAGCCCAGGTCAGAACATCTCTGCCCACTCACTGGAGAGGTTTTATCCAGCACAGGGAGTTGGGAGAAGCCAAAATTCCAGACACTGTCCAGAGCCCAGCAGAGCACTCAGCAGGACCCCAGAAAATAAACAAAAATAACTTGAGATTTCTATTTTATTGTTCGAAATCCTCGAGGAGTGGGGCACAAACACAAGGATTGTTTTCCCTGCTCTCTGTGCCCTTTTCCTATAAATCCACCAAGATTTAGGACTGTTTGGGAGTCATCTCCTGCCTCGGGATACCCGAACTCTGCCCCAGGTGAGACGAGCCCAACGAGACCCAGGTGATCCAAGGAAATCCCATTCCTATCCCAAAGCTCTGGATTGGTTTGGGAGCTGCCAAGCTGAGATTGGCTTTGTACCATAAACCCTTCCCTCCAGCCAGATTTGCACACAGTTAAAAATGGGAAATTAAATGCTGAATTAAGTTATTTAAAGAAGTTTTGGGGTTGTTTTGGAGGGACAGTTAGGAAAAAGAATTGAAGTGTGGGAAAAGACTCCCAGAAGAAAATCCCAGCTCCGAACCATCCCAAACCTCCTACAAAGCCAAGAGCAGCCAGTGATGATTCCTGCCAGCACTGAGGGAAGAAAAGATGGGATTAGGAGATTTATCAAGGTCCATTGAAATCCTTGACAGCAAATTAGTTTGGAGTTAATCACTAACTGAAGCACATCCAAAGGATTTGTGTCTTAGCAAAGTTTGTTTGATATCTCTGAGCTTTAAATGGCCAAGGAGGACCTGGAAACGTCAAGGAGGACCTGGAAACACCATGGAGGACATGGAAACATCAGGGAGGACTTGGAAACATCAAGGAGGACTTGGAAACACCAAGGAGGACTTGGAAACACCAAGGAAAACTTGGAAACATCAAAGAGAACTTGGAAACACCAAGGAGAACTTGGAAACACCAAGGAGAACTTGGAAACACCAAGGAGAACTTGGAAACATCAAGGAGGACATGGAAATGCCAAGGAGAACTTGGAAACACCAAGGAAGACCTGAAAACACTGAGGAGGACATGGAAACATCAGGGAGGATATGAAGACACCAAGGGGGACCTGGAAACACCAAGGAGAACTTGGAAACACTGAGAAGAACTTGGAAAGACCGAGGAGGACATGGAAACATCAGGGAAGACATGAAGATATCAAGGAGGACATGGAATCACCAAGGAGGATGTGGAATCACCAAGGAGGACGTGTGAGAAAAAGAACCCAACCTATAAATGAGGTTTCTTGACTTCCTGAAAGATCAGAACCTGAAATTAAAAACCCTTTCAGCCACTGAGTTTGTCAAGACAACCAAAAGGAAGAAAAACATTGGAGATCTTCCCTCTCCCTGGATTTTCATAGTTTAAAAGGTGGCAAATCCTTCCTGGCTCTGTGGATGTTCCCTGACCTGCAGCTGATTGCCGATAAAGAGATTAACAGAGCCAATCCCTGGCTGAGAAATTCGATTCTGGGAGATCTTTGTGAACCCTTTTGGCTCCAGAAGAAGACAAGGAGCAGAGTCGAGGAATGATGAGGGGTAGGACAAGACATGATCTCATCTGAACCTGGACCAAGGAGAATGGAGGAGGCAGAAAAACAATCATCTGCGCTCATCCAGGAGAAGCAGGAACGGCAAAACTGCTGCCAAAAGCCATCCCAAAGAAATAAAAGGAAGATTTAACAGCTGTTAAATCCCAGAAAAGAGCGGGAATCAGGAGGAGAACTCTGCTGCTGTGGGTGAGAATAGAAGAGGAACAACAGAGGAACCTGCCAGGGGTGAGATTCCCCGTCCAAGCCCAACATGTGGCTCTGGAGAAGAGGACGCCGATCCGAAAGATTCCGGGGAGATTCCATGCGAGCCAGTCAGCCGGGATACTGCAATGCACAGCTTGCCTTGGAGAAGTGAGAGGCTCCACAGAACTCCGGAGTACTGCCAGATGTTTTCCAGGATGAGAGGAAAACGGGCACAGATCTGACACAAAGGAGGAGGGAAAACTAGGAAAAATCCGGGAACAGCTCTTTTGGATCTTGGCCTCCTCCTGGAAGTGAACTTGGGAAAGTTTCTTCCCCTGTTTTCTGAGGTGGACAGCGCTTGGAGCAACCTGGGATTGTGGAAGACATCCCTGCCCATGGAATGAGATGGGCTTTGAGGTCCCTTCCAACCCAGCTCATTCTGGGATGATTCCACGACAACGATTCCATGACAACGATTCCATGGCAACGATTCCATGACAACGATTCCATGCTATGTTTGCTACACCCCAGCTCCAATCTGCTCTCTCCACAATCCCATGTTGGATCTGAGCCAGGATGGGCACAAGTCCTGTAATTCCTGCAGGATTTGTGGCTAAATCCTGAACAAATTAATCCTCTCCTCCAAGTTTTCTGTTCCCGGTGGCCTTTGGGGCTGTGTTTCCACAGGCAAATCCCAAAGGAGAGGAACTCTCATCCCAGCTGGACTCAGACCTTTGGAAGGGACAAACTCCTTGGGAAATGTCCTCAGCTCCTGGCGATGGAGGAAGGGAAGAGGAGCCTGCTCTGAATCCCAAGGCTCTGGCTAAGCTCCAACAGGATCATTCTGTTTGTCCTTCCAGGGCAAACCCCAACCCAAAACTGGGGCTTCTCCTCTTTCCAGACATTCCAGCTCTGATCCTTCCTCACTAAAATCCAAGAGGGAGGACTCTGGATCTCCAGAGGATAGATCCTGATCCACACACTCAATCAAGAGTTTGGGATCAGCCCAGGAATGATGGGAACACCCTGTGACAAACAGATCCTGCTGGGCCTTGGTGGCAGTTTTCCTTCTGTTTTGGTGTCAGCATGATCCAAATTTTTGCATGGATGTTGCTCACGCACAGAAACATCCAGAGAAGAAAAATTTATTTGTGATTTGCAATTCAAAATGATTTTAAAAAAATAAAATATTTCTTCTCCCTGCACAACCCTCATGGCTGTAATTTTTATCTACTTTTAACAACAGGTTTGATTGATTTTAATCCTAAATAACCCAGTGTTGAAATTCATTTCAGTGAGAGCTGCATTTTAGGAGGGGGGGGTTATGTTTGTTTATAAATAAATTTATGGCTTTTGCTGATTCCTTGAATTTCTGAGGGATTGTCAAATGTTCTCAATCTTGAGTAATAAACACAAGCAAAGAGTGAGTCACCGGTTGGAGTTTTTGGTATTTTTTGCTTTGTTCCAGCAGTGAAATGATAATTCAGAAACGTCTCTGAGCCAGAAAATCAAGAAGGGTAGAAGAAGAGAGCAGGGAAACGGATTAAATTTTGAAAAGTTGATATTTTGCTGCCTCTCACTTGGTGGGAAATGGTTATGATGAGGTTTGACTTAAAACAAGAAAAGAACATCACAAATAAATATTGGCTGTTAAAGATTTCTATTCGGGACAAGAGGGAACGATCTCAGGCTGGGCCAGGGGAGGCTCAGGGTGGACAGCAGGAATTCCCCCATGGAAAGGGAGCTCAGGCACTGGAAGGAGCTGCCCAGGGAGGTTTGGAGTGCCCATTCCTGGAGGTGTCCAAGGAATTCCTGGATGTGGCACTCGGGGCTCTGCTGGGGATTGGACTCGATGATCTTGGAGGGCTTTTCCAACCTCAGGGATTCTGGGATTCTGTGCCCTGGGATAGATGGAGAGGAGCTCCAGCTCCTGTCAGAATCTCACAGCCACCACATCCCCCATTGAATCTGAATCCAAACCTCAGACATGTCAGAGGGAGGAGATTTCTCCCTGGATTCCACTGGGATTTGGTCAGGCCCTAATCTGAGAGGCTGATAAAGATTTGGGACACAAAGTTAGGATCCCACCTTCTCTTCCTGGCTTCCTTCAGAGCTTGGGGAAATTAACCCTTAATTAGCCCTCAGAAGAGCAGCTGGTTGCTGCTGGTGGAGTCTTTCTCCTCATTAGGGTTTGGATTAATTGTCCAGAGAAACTGTGGATCCTCCATCCCTGGAAGTGTCCAAGGCCAGGTTGGACGGGGCTTGGAGCAGCCGGGGACAGTGGGAGGTGTCCCTGCCCGGGGCAGGGGTTGGAACCAGGTGACCTTTTAAGGTCCCTTCCTGCCCAAACCATTCCAGGATTCCATGACCCTGTGGAACAGGACATTCAGAGGGCAGAGTGAGGAACAATTCCGAGTTTTAAGGAAGGACTGAAGCCGCTTTCCAGGAGCGCCCACAAAAAGGGAGGGCTGACTTATCCACCCTGGAAACCGATTTTAGCCACAAAGACCCCTCTGGGATGTGCAAATTCCATGCCCTTGGTGGTTCCCTCTCCAACACCCCCTCTGGAAGAACAGGAATGCTGCACATTCCCATAACCACATCCAGATTGTTCTGGTTCCCCTCCTTGCTCTCAGAACTCAGGGAAAAGAGAGGAACATCCCCACCTGCATCCATGAGCTGTTAACCCTCCCCACCCCCAGAGGAGCATTTTGCCAAGGAGTGAGAATTCCCAAGGGAAGAACGGGACGGGTCGTACCCCACGTGACCGTTCCCGTCCCTGTGTGTGTCACCAGGCAGGTTTACAGGCAGAGAACAAACCAAAGCCAGCGCCCAGCCTGGCTTGTCCCCTCCCAGGACGATGGCACCACTCCCTCCCTGCGCGCCTCCCGCTTTCCTGGGGGACGCTCCCGTCCTCCTTGGCCACCCATGCTCTCTGAGGAATCCGAGGACCACGCAGATCCCTCCACGAGGATCTCTGGTGTCCAGCAGGTCTGGAGAGCTCTGGGTCGTGGAATTCATGGATGGGATCACCCGCTGGCCACGTCGGTGACTCGCTTTTTTTTTTTCCCCCCAAATAACTTAATCTCTCATTCCACAGAATGGAGAAACTGCATGGAAACCCTTGGAATCTGCTGCGTGGCCTGATGGTCTTTTCCCACTAAATGCTCCACTCCAGGAACCTTTTTCATCCTTTGGCTGAATTTTTTTTCCCCCCTCCTCCCGTCTTTACATCACTGTCTCTCTCTCCTCTTCCACAAGGACTGTGGGTCTGTCTCCGTCGTAAAGCCCGGAGCCGTTCAGGTATTCCTCATCTTTGTTGTACTGCTCTGGGCCGGAGGAAGGCATGGAATTCTCGGAAATGGAGCCGTTTTTCACATAACCTGGCAAATTCCGGTGGCCGTTGAGGGTCCCTGGGATAAGTCTGGTGTTGAGGTGGAGGGCGAGGGCCCCTCTGGTGGCTACGTTTGTGATGCTGGTGTGGGAAACCATTGGTCCATAACTGTAGGTTGTGCTCCCACTCCGGGCTTTCCTTTTAAAGTCAAGTGCTAAAGTCCACCTGCTCCATGACTTCTTTATTTCTGCTTGGACCTGAGGGGAAAAAAAAGGAAGGGGGGGGAAAAAAACCTCATCAGTGGGAGAGGGAAAAAATGCTGGAAAAACGCAGTGTCCGTAGGCAGAACGGGTGGGAAACTCTGTGGGGACTCGGAATTTTGTGGTCCCTTCCAATTCAGGAGGATCCGTGATTCCATGAAATTGGAAGGAACAAAAAGCTCACATTAAATCTGCCCTTTCCAAATGAAATATTGGACACTGGGAATGGCTGAAAAGATCTGGCTGGACAGGTGGGATAGCTCTGGCCAAGGGTTAAGGGATGGAGAGCGGTGCTTCCGGGGGGGAATTGTCTCTGTGTCCCGTCAAAATCAAGTGTGAGTGGGAAAAATCACCTTGAGAGGCACCCGAATCCTGAGAAATTTCCCTGGAATGGGAATTTTAGACTGGGTCTAAAGTAGGTTGCTAAAGTTAGGATGAGATCAGTTCCCCTTAGATTTTATCTTTGTTTGATCTGCAGAACATAAAAAGTGATTCTGTGGTTTTATTTCCCCTTAAAATCCATAAATTGAAGTTATAAATTCCCCTTACAATCCATAAATTGAAGTTATAAATTCCCCTTAAAATCCACAAATTCAGGTGATAAATTCCCCTTAAAAATCCATAAATTTTGTTTTATGCCAGTCCATGGAAATTCTTCCCTGGGGTACAGCCGCTGACCATCCACTTGCTTGACTAGCAATAGAGGGAATTAATGGAAATGGAGAAATTAAAGTGTATTATTCTGGAAATAGATAAAAAAAGCCAAAAAAAGCCTGGAAAAATCCAGATTTTTTTTTTTGTTGTTTAATCAGTGACTCAATCAATCCATTTATCTTCTTAATTTGAAATGAAGCAGCACTAAGCAGCGCTTGTGCTGGGAAATTAAAAATTCCACATTTTTTCTCCATTATCTCCTTCCAGTAGCTCATTTATCGGCACCATATCGACCTGGGGGTTTTCCTCCAGAAAAAAAGAAATGAGAATTTGAATTTTTTATGTGGACTGAGGGACTTTGGACTACAAAATGAGGTTGTTTGTTGTCGAAAAATGAGGATGTAATTCCACCTGGGTGTGGAATTAACCCATGAAAGGAGGGAATGAAGATGTTCATGACTCACCTCCCCGTTGCAAAAACAGTATATGATGGCAACAAAAAATCCCTGGAAAGAAGAAACAACAAATTAATGGGAATTGAAGGAAATCTGGGTCTCTTTTCCGCCCAGCACCCCCAGAGATTGAAAACCTGCTGTGGAAAATGTGTGAGAGAAAAGTGGGATTGTTCAGCGGGGCAGTAAGCAGAGAGAATTCCCTGTGGACGGAGCTCCTGGTGGACAAGGAGCCAGCAGAGTGTCCTGGGGGACAAGAGGCCGATGGGATCTTGGGATGCATTGGGAAGAGCGTCTTTTCCTGGACACACTTCCCCTTTTTTCGTTGCGTTTCACAAATAGAAAATATTTTCAATTCCCCTCCTGAATGAATTCTAGCGTATTGTAAACCCAGCTCTGCTTCCAAAGCCAGCCTTTCCCTCCCCTCCCCACTGAAATTCCCATGGTTTCCCAGAGACCCAGTACCTGGAAAGAGTTGAACAGCATTTCATAGTGCATTTGAACTTGCCAAAGAATCCCTGACACGTCTGTGTATGGCATAGCCATGAAAACAATATAGTGAACGCCAAACAGAGGCATAAGGACGAGGGTAGATTTCAGCAGCTTCCTGCAGGGAAAAAAAAAACAGGGATACAGCAGGAATTAGTGCATGGATAAACCTCCCCGGCATCACCAAGCCAGAGTTTTGTCACTGGGCATGAGCTGCTCGCGGTTTTCTCCTTGTCCCCTTGGATATGGGATGTTTACAGAGGAATTCCGCTGGGAATTCCAAGCTGTTGTTTCGTGCCCCAGCGTGTGCCGGTCCAACCCCTCAACACGTCCTTGTGAGACGCTGGAGGTGACGACACCGAGGTGTCTTTTCCAGCCTCAGGGTTTGGAGGAATCCAGGATCAAAGGAAAGGAAGGGATTTGTGCTGCCATTCCAGCCCTCAGGCTCCAAACCCCCTGATCCCTAAAGGATGGCTCTCCACCTTCCCACACGACCCGCAGAGGCCGACACTGCTCGAGCAGCAGGTCGGAAAATGGACTTCCAGAGGTCTTTTCCAACCTCAACCACTCTGTCAAGGCAAGACAGGAAAATCCACCCTGGATCAGCGGCTCCTGCGCAATGAGCAGATCTGGAGCAGAGGGATTCAGGAATTAGGAGTGGAATTGCTCCAGATATCCAGGGGAGGAGGACAGAGCAGAGGTGAGCACTCCCAGGAGGTGCTCCAGGCTTCAGCATCACTTGGAAAAGCTCCTTTTTTCAGGAAGCAGCTCCACCTCAGCACAGAACCAGCGCTGAGGACTCTGAGAAGACACCACAACCCGGAGTGTTTGGCTGGGCTGGCTCCGGAGGGAATCGGCTTTGCCTGGAAGTGACATTAATTGAGGGATTAAACTTTGTGCCAAGAGTTCCAGCAAGTCCCTGAGTGCAGCAGGGATCGGGAAGGGCGGGAATCGCTCCCAGAAAACTCCGGCGCTGCCTCTGTCCAGCGCCTGCAAACCACCGAGGGAATTTAACACTTTAAAAGGAGCAGGCCCCATCCAAACCATAATTAATGGCAAAGCTTCAGCCAGGGAGAAGTAAATAAATGGATAAATCAGAGCCCTGACAGGGCAGCGGGGAAAACTGGGAGGTGTTTTCCTGCCAAATCCCCTCCCGCCTCAAATGTGTGTTTGGAGAGGGAGGTGGGAGCAATGAGCTCATGGTTTACATCCCGGATCATTCCGCTCTCCCCCCTTCCCAAGTGGCCTGTTGGGCAGTCCGGGAGATCCTGAGAAACCTTGGGAGCTCTCAAGCAGCCGTGGTGGCCCAGCAATCCAATTTTTCCATCCAATTTTTGACCACGCCACAAATAACCTGAACTATCAAGGGAGATGAGCTGGCAGGACAAAGGAAAACCAAACAAAACATGAAATGAAATTGGAATTTTTTTTTTTTCAGTTCAGCCAAGGCAGCAAAACACCCGCTCAAGGGCAGGTTTAACAAATAGGCCAAGCTTAACAAAACGCAGGAGGGAAATAAAAATAAGCAAATAAACCGATTCAAGTTTTACAGCCTTCAACAGCGCAAACAACATTTCATTTTTGTATTTTTGGTTCAAAAACTGCCTGAAGAGCTGGAATTCCTCCCTAACCTCCAGCAGGTTGGATTTGAAAGCTTTAGGAGAGTTTTAAATCGCTCTGGCTCATTCTGCATTGCCACACTTGGAAGAGAACGAACGTTTCAAGTCATTTGAGGTGGCACCAGCGCCACCCTGGGTTTTCTCCAGAGCCAAGGGGGTGAACCAGGGACTTTGTCCCATCCCAGGAGGGGACAGGGCGGGTGACCCTCACCTGTACTGTTGTCTCGAGTCGCACCTCCCTGCATTCGTCTCTCGGAGCTTGGTTGCAAGGACTCTGATAATATTGATAAAGAGAATAAAATTTACCTGCAAGGAGAAGAGAACAAACAACAAAGAGAGGAGAACCGTTAAAAAATGATGAAAATGGTGGAGTTGTTCAGTTGGTGTTTCCCCCAGGTGAAGCAGGGGCTGGGGAGGAACCTCCTCCTGTGGAAGGGATGAGCGTTCCAGGAGTGATCCCACGGTTTTTAGCCTTCAGGGACAATATGGAACAGCTCACAAGGTGTAGACATTTCACGTGGAAACATCTGAGCCAGCCAGCCTAGCAGACACCTGGAGAAGGCCAAAACGAGGTTTGATTTGTCTTTCCCAGCCCAGCTGGGATTCAGATCCCCTTGGGATACCGGGAGCACCCGTAGGATGTCTCCCCACATTTCCATGCGCCGAAGGAAAGAGGAACAAGCCAAATGCACTGTGGCGAGGACACAGAGTGGATCTAAGTGGAAATGACAGCTCAAGAATGCAGAAGGGCAATGAAACTGTTGGACTTCTCCCATATTCCTACTGCTGAGCTTCCTCTGGGAAGTGTTTTGGGTGGAGCAGACAAGGACAGTCAGGGAATATCTTTTCAGCTTTTCATGGAGACACATCTGTGAACCCAACTCGTGGTCAAAGGCTCAAGAGAATTCCAGTGGCGCCCGAGCACCTTGGAACAGGCTGTCCCAGGAAGAAGTGGAATCACTGTCCTGGGAAGTGGTGGAGTTCCCATCCCAGGAAGTGGTGGAGTTCCCATCCCAGGAAGTGGTGGAATTCCCACCCCAGGAAGTGGTGGAGTTCCCATCCCAGGAAGTGGTGAAATCTTGGGTGGATGTGGCACTTGAGGACAAGAGTAAGCGGTGACCATGGTGGTGCTTGGGGAATGGTTGGACTTGGTCTGGGAGAACATTTCTAGCCTTTGTGCCTCCATGATTCCAATCTTGTCCTACGAGGAACTGAGGAAAATTTAATGGCGACACCTCATGGGGAGGAAAGATGGGTTGACACTGGGGAGATTCCCGTCTCTGTAGAGCTCTTCAGGGCTTGGTTTCCCTGGATTCCAGCAGCTGCTGGCCCAGCCAAACCCACCCACGGGATTATGGAGAGGGTACAGGCAGAACCGGCCTGTAACTGCAGGGAGCAGATCCACGTTGTTGGATAATGCCTACGGATTCCTCCGGAGCCTTCGGCATTTCAGGACACTGAATTACCACACCACAAACAGGCTCGGAATTTTAGGGAGGGACCATCGTGAACCTCAGGTTGGGCAGTCCAGGAGACCTCCTTGGATTCATTTTGGTTGGAGCAGATCCGTGTTCTAGCATTTCCATGACAGAAATCCCACCACAACCATTGGAGAGTTGTTCCCGTGGTCAATTATCCTGCCTGGCAAAACCCTGAGTTGATGAAGGGCCTGGTTTTCCTGGTTTTCCTGGTTTTCCTGGTTTTCCTGGTTTTCCTTCTCTTTTAAGGAGGTGGGAGCTCATTTGGAACTTCTCCACAAAAAAAAAAAAGCAGGGAAGGTTGTGCCACACCCTTTCTGTCACTGGGATATGAGTGAAAATCCTCTCCCATATCCATTTCCCCATTTTCATGAGATTTGTGGGAATTTTACATCCCTGCAGCCCCATTCCCTGAGTTCCATTTGGCTGAAATTTCCTGGCTGGCACAGGGATTATAAGGGAGGAATGGACAGACAGACAGGCAGGGAAGCGCAGAGCCTGGGGGCATTTAATTCCTTGGAAATCATCTGAAAGGGAAAAACCAAGCAGGATTTATCTCTCTACAGGAGCTTTTCCAGCTTTAAAGGCTCAAAAGCGGGATCTTGTTCTGCATTTGTCGGCAGAATTAAAGATGCCCAACCTTATCACACCCAGGAGGGAAACTCCTCTGGTTTCCCCAAACGTGCTGAGTTGGAAAAGAAACCCAGACAAAAGAATCACATCCGAGTTAGCATAAAATGGAGAGATTTTTAAACCCCTCAGCCTCCAAAATCTCATCCAGAAATTGCAGGATTCAGTCCAGCAACGTGGGAATGGCAGAAGCAGCCAAGCGAACAATACGAACCCACAGAAATCAAACAGACACAACCCGCAGAATATTTTTGCATAATAAACAGCTGCATTTGCATATTGCCAGGGCACAGGCACAGCCTCCCAGAGAAACCTTATTTTTCCAAGGATGAGCCTCAATTGGGCTCCTTCTTCTCTGCTAATTGGCCTTTAAATGGAATGTGATGGGGTTGCTGGAATTCATTTAATTGAGCCATCTGAACTTTCTCCTCCAGCCTCCGCTGTTCCATTTCCAAAGATGTGGTCTCGGTGATGCGCCTCTTCCGAGGAATCGCTGGAGCCAGGTGGAGAATTTCCACCAAAAGGATGAAATGCAGTGCCCCCAGACCCCAAAAATTTCACCTAATGGCACAGATGAGCACATCCACCTCGGAAAATTTCCTGCTCTTTGTGCGTCTGGAGTTCTTCTCACCTTCACTGAACATCTTCCAAGGCCTCCTGATTTGTGAGGCAGGAGGAAGAACCTGACTCCAAAGCCTCTGGAGAGATTCCTACGGACTCTGCTCGTGGATGAGTGGAAAGGGAGATGGGATTTGGGGGAGTGCGTGAGCTCTTTTACCTGGATTCCATCAGGAGATTGAGCAATGGAGAACCCCAAATAAAGAGAGGGGGAAGAGGGTAATTAATGAATTCATTAATGGGGACATAATTGGATTCATCTGGTGCAGATAATTAAATCTTTTAATGCTCTCCCCAGCTTTGCAGAGCTCCTCCTGTGTTGGGATAATGTCACTTGGATCCTTTCTTTCCCCTCTGGCTCCTGGGTGGGGGTTGGAATAATCCGCCCTCAGTGATTAAAGACCCAGTCAAAGCTGGGATGGTTTCATTTCCCTTCCCACCTCTGGATTCCCAAACTTTTATCTGCTCAGAAAGAACAGGATCACCCTGGAACATGCCTGGGAAAAGCTTTGGTCCAGCTACAGACCCCAAATTCCATCTCTTCCAACCAGAGATGCCTGGTAAGAACACGCTATGACCCCTGAGATTTTCCAGGATCACCTGGGTTGGAAATATCGCCTTGAATGTTGTTTTCATTAATGATTTTAGGGTCTTAACCCTAAAAATGTGGGATTTTTCTCTCCTTGAAGTCACCCACAAACCCTTCTGCCACATTCAGCTGCCAAAATTCCAGGCAGGACAAACATCAACCCCTCGAAAGGGACACGGAGGGATCATTATAGGGCAGGATTTTTGATAATGGGGTGATTAGAGTGGGAAATCCTGGATCAGCCCTTCCCAAGGACCCAAAGTCCTGCCAGCCCCTCTCTCCTCCCAAACTCACCACGATAGCTGCCAGGATGGGCACCTGAATAATCCACTTTAAATTGCCAGCACTCAAGTCCCAACACCTGAGGAGAGATGGACATCAGGTCAGGAAAGCATCGGAAGAGCCAGCGACTCAAGAGTTTCCTTGGAAAAATCCCCCTGGAAGGATGAGTTCCTCCAAAGCCTGGTGGAAGGACCTTACTCTAACCCTACCTGCACTCAGTGAAACTTTGGGATGTCCCTTTTCCTGCTGTTTTGCTATTAAAAAATGAGAATATTTTTAAGATTAGGATGGTTCTGCTCTCCAGAGGGTGAAGCTCTTTCCAGATCTTTCCACACTCATCCAAACCTGGTCCTTTCCCACTTTTTCGCTTCCTTGCCAGAAAAAAATCCCTACATTAAAAGTAATCCAGGTTTCATGAACACAGGAGAGATGTAGGATCACAGGATCCTGGAATGAGTGGGGTTGGAATGGTTTAATTCCAAATCCCTGCCATGGGAGAGAGGTTGCTCCAAGCCCCTTCCAACCTGGCCTTGGACGCTTCCAAGGATGAGGCAGCCACATCTTCTCTGCGTGAACAGTGCCAGGGCCTCCCTACCCTCTCAGGGAAGAATTTTTCCCAATATCCCATTTATCCTTGACCTCTGGCAGTGGGAATTTTCCATTTCCACTCCCCGTGTCCTGTCCCTCCAGTTCCTGCTGGATAATCCCTCTCCAGTTTCCCTGCAGGACTCTCTCGGGATCTGTCCCTGCTCATGGCAGGGGGTTGGATTAGATGACCTTGAAAGGTCTTTTCCAAGCCAACCATTCCATGATTTCCTCTTGGAATACACCTGCACAGCTTCCCATGGGGACAGGTGGTGTCTGACACGCGGTGACGGGGACAGTGCTGGGATTCCACACTCGCTTCCCGGTTTTCCTTCAACGCTGCCCTGGCAGGGAGACCCAGCCAAATCCCCCCAAATCTTTATCTCCATCCACCTTCGGTCCTTATCCCAGTGAGGACTGGAAGGGCCTGTTGGTGATGTGGATATTGGGATATTGGGATGTTGGGATGTTGGGATGTTGGGATGTTGGGATGTTGGGAAGTTGGGATATTGGGATGTTGGGATATTGGGAGGTTGGGATGTTGGGATGTTGGGATATTGGGATATTGGGATATTGGGATATTGGGAAGTTGGGATGTTGGAATGTTGGGAGGTTGGGATATTGGGATGTTGGGATATTGGGAGGTTGGGATATTGGGATATTGGGATATTGGGAAGTTGGGATGTTGGGATGTTGGGATGTTGGGATGTTGGGATGTTGGGATATTGGGATGTTGGGATATTGGGAGGTTGGGATATTGGGATATTGGGATATTGGGATGTTTGGATATTGGGATGTTGGGATTTTGGGATATTGGGAGGTTGGGATATTGGGATATTGGGATATTGGGAAGTTTGGATGTTGGGATATTGGGATGTTTGGGGATGTTGGGATATTGGGATGTTTGGATATTGGGAAGTTGGGATGTTGGGATGTTGAGATATTGGGAAATTTGGATCCAATCCTCCATCTGCCAAGAATGGGCGGGCTCTATTTGCTCCCAGGAGTTTCCAGCAGTCCTTGGAAAAGCTGGCTCAGTGTTAAATATTCTGCTGGAATTCTCTCCAGCTCTGGAGACAGGAATGCCACAGGCTTTTCCTTATCTGATCCAGGTAACCCCCATGTGGCAGCTGCAGTTTTCCCAGGCCAGCTCCTCCAGGAAAGCGAGGCGGGAAAGCCGTCAGTGTTCCCTGGAAGCCACTGTGAGGATGGGCTGGTGTCACACACATGTCACCCTTCAGTAGCTCTGCTGATCCACCTGTCCAAGCCGGGAGCTGAAATCCCCCTTGGAAAGTGGAGTCTTCCCATGCAAAGCCATTTGGGAATGCCTGGGGACCCTCTGCTGGAGGATCCTGGCAAAATGGAAGCGCTTGTGTGGTCAAGCCTGGGAATTCTGGGGGAAAGGCCAGGTTGGATGGGGCTTGGAGCAACCTGGGATAGTGGAAGGAGTCCCTGCCCATGGCAGGGGGTGGAATGGGATGGGCTTTAAGGTCTCTCCTAACCCAAACCATTCTGGGATTGTAAAATCCATGGAGGAGTTGGAGTTCTACCACCCCAGCACCACCAAACTTCTCTGACTGTGCTGCAGCTGCTGTGTCCCAAATTGATTCCAGACAATCCCTTTGTCCCCAGGGATAACCACCACAGGTATTCCCATTTACTGAATCCTGCGAAATGAAAGGAAAAATTATCCTTCCCTTCCATCCACCACCCTCCTCCGAAAGTTAATGACGTCGGAGTAGAATTCCAGCTTTGCCTGGTTCTTTTTCCTTTTGAATCTGAAATCCCACAAAACTCCGCACATGAAGGGGAGAGAAGGAAACCCAGTGGGACTTACTCTGTGTCGGCCAGAGTGGCTCTGACGCTGGCCCACACTGTGACAAACACAGCAGGGAGTCCTGCAAGAGAACACAGGTGACACAAGGTCAGCGTGCGACCGAGGGCTCTGGCACCAAAATTCCAGGTGGATTGGGTTAGGGGAAGGTGGAAGGAGCAGTTTTTAATTATTCAGGAATAACTGAGTCTTGGGAAAGCTGAGCTTTCACGTCTAAGAACTGAACTGGTTCAGTTTGGGGTGCACATAGCCAAGATATTGAGGGGCTGGAGTGAGTCCAGGGAAGGGAATGGAGCTGGGAAGGGGCTGGAGAATTCCTGAGGGAGCTGGGAAGGGGCTGGAGAATTCCTGAGGGAGATGGGAAGGGGCTCAGCCTGGAGCAAAGGAGGCTCAGGGGGCCCTTGTGGCTCTGCACAAGTCCCTGCCAGGAGGGAACAGCTGGGGGGGGTCGGGCTCTGCTCCCAGGGAACAGGGACAGGAGGAGAGGGAACGGCCTCAGGCTGGGCCAGGGGAGGCTCAGTTGGAAATTGGGAAAATTCCCTCCTGGAATGGGCTGTCCAGGCCTGGCCCAGCTGCCCGGGACAGGGGTGGAGTCCCCATCCCTGTTAGGATGTGACATCCCTGTGGATGTGGCACTTGGGGACAAGGTCAGGGCTGGCATTGGCAGAGCTGGGGTTGGTTGGGTTCTATGGTCTCCGAGGCCTGAGAGTGCTGGAACCAACTTTGGCCAACCCATCCCATGGGAAGCAGAAAACTCAGGAGCCAGGCTGGGAGAGCTGGGAATGTTCCCCTGGAGAGGAGAAGCTCCAGGGACACCTCAGAGCCCCTTGCAGGGCCTGAAGGGGCTCCAGGAGAGCTGGAGAGGGACTGGGGACAAGGGATGGAGGGACAGGACACAGGGAATGGCTCCCACTGCTTGGATTTTGGGATATTGGGAAGGAATTCCTGGCTGGGATGGAATTCCCAGAGCAGCTGGGGCTGCCCCTGGATCCCTGGAAGTGTCCAAGGCCAGGCTGGACAGGGCTTGGAGCAACCTGGGACAGTGGGAGGTGTCCCTGCCCATGGTAGGAGGTGGAATGGGATGATCCTCAAGACCCCTTCCAACCCAAACTATTCCACGATTCCATGATTCCAATGGTTTTATGCAGCACACCTTCTCCAAGATATTTCCTCCCTTCCTTCACATCAAGGAAAGGTAGAGCAGGAGTCAGGCTCAGAGAGTTTCTCCCAGAAAATCCCTGGATGGATTGGAAGCTCTGTTAAATACAAGAGAGCTGCTGCACGAAGCGGAGAAATGCTGAAATTTAGGATTATACTTCCAAAATATCCAGCCAAAGGTTCATTCCCAAATGAACCATCCTGATTCCAGCACAGATACCCCAAGCCATCATCTTTTCCCTGGAAAAAAAAAAATCCCCCCAAATCCAAATGCAACCTTGTATTTATTTTTTTAGGGTCCAGTTATTTGTACAACTGAGTCCCCTACTGGCTTCCCTTAAAAAGCAGGATCCAAGCCACAGTAGCTTCCACAAATTCGGGAAGAATGACCCCTTTCAGGTGGGGAAAAAAAAAATTATTAAAAAATAAATAAAGGCGACATTTATCAGCGGGGACTGTGAAGAGGCTGTTCCCAGCCTAAGCTCACTGGGGCTCAGGGATAAGCCCAGGCTTAACTTTCAGCATGCACTTAAGTCTCATTAGGGTGCTTAAAGGTTTTCCTGACCACGGGGTGTGGAGCAGGGACGGCTGTGTCCCAAAGCCGGGGACAACGGGGCCCTTATCCTGGCTGGGAGCTGGGAATGCCGAGGTAATATAAGAAAGCATAAATAATTAAACACAGAGCCTCACTCAGGCCCAGAGCTCCTACAAAGCCACATTTATAAGGAATTCATCCCCGTTCCACAATTCCCTGTGGTGCTGGCACTGGGAAGAAAATCCTTGACCTGTCGCACTGGGGACTTGGAACGAGGGAAGGTGACAGGCATTGGATCTTTCCTCCTCCCTGCTATCCACCTATCCATGGAAAGTAGGGCAGGCGCTGGAAAATCATCCAATGGATTGAATTTTTTGGTGCTCATTCTGTTTATATCCACTGAGGAGCTGCCGTGTTGAAAGGCTGTCCATGAAAGATTGGATATTCCCACCATGGCAAAGCTCTAAGGGTGGACTGTGGACTTTTTGGGAGATTGGGATATATTTGGCAGGAATTTGTTCCTCTTTTGCCTGTCCTGAACTTCAGGAGAGACACAATTCCCGTTTTTACTAATCCTGTGCTGACTTTGAGCTCCCAAGCAACAATAAAATAACCAGGGGAAAAGAGTTATCCCTAAAAATCCCAGCATGTGCATGGATGGATGGATGGATGATGGATGAATGGATGAATGGATGGATGGATGGATGATGGATGGATGGATGGATGATGGATGGATGATGGTTGGATGGATGGATGGATGGATGGATGATGGATGGATGGATGATGGATGGATGGTTGGATGGATGGTTGGATGGATGGATGGATGGATGGATGATGGATGGATGGATGATGGATGGATGGATGATGGATGGATGGTTGGATGGATGGATGATGGATGGATGGATGGATGGATGGATGGATGGATGGATGGATGGATGATGGAAGTCCTACCCCGATCCAACCCAGCCCGCCATGCCGTGAGCGACTTGTACAGAATCCACATTGTATGCGCTGTGCATTTCCAGCCCCACACACAGTGTGTACAATGCAGGTGCTATAAAGTCAGGAATCTCCCCAGCAGCCAGAAAATGGGAACAATCTGCTGCCCACCCCAACCCTTCCAGGGCTTTTCCCGTGTCCGTGTCTCCCAGCAGCTGGAAAAACGGGTTTCAGGCATGTGGAGTAAAGGAGCAACTGCTGGAAGGGAGTTTAGGAATAAAGACCATGGATCTTGGAATTCTGTCAGTTCCCTGGGATTTAAAGGCCTCTCTGAGGAACGATGCCTGTATTTTATGAATCCCTCTGTGTCCCTTTTTCCTGGATATTAAAAGGGAATAATAATAATAATAATAAACGATGCCTGTATTTTATGAATCCCTCTGTGTCCCTTTTTCCTGGATATTAAAAGGGAATAATAATAATAATAATAATAGTAATAGTAATAGAATAGTAATAGTAATGATAATGATAATAATAGTAGTAATAATAATAATAATAATAATAATAATAATAATAATAATAATAATAATAAAAGTAGTAGTAGTAGTAATAGTCATAGTAGTAATAATATAATACTTTGAAGGCCTCTGGTCCTGCTTGGTACAAATTTTTCAGGGAATACAAATTTTTCAGGGAAGGATTATTCCTGCTTGGATAAACACGCAGGGCTCATCCTCATGGATTTTCAGAGCACCTTCCACCATCCTGTTTTATCTTTTCCAGGTGTCCCTGCAGCCCCCAATTTGCTGAAATCCAGGGCAGCCCAGCCGCATGTGTGGGAATTAACACGGTGTGAAGGAAATTGCCAACGGAATCAGCTTGGGTTTCCTGGCTATTGGTCATGGTTCCTAAACTTCCTTCAAAAAACAGCTGCAGGGAGCTGGGAGTCTCCCAAGGGATTTATTGTATCCCATAATGTCATTATTTATTTATTTGGGGTGGGTGCTGGCAGGGAACGAGTTCCTTTCCCTCGGCAGGATGGATCCCTTGGAAGAAGGGAATTGAGGACTTTGATGGAGCGTGTGCCAGTGAGGATGTGGATTGAAAATACCGGACAGAAATCCGTGGAGGTGACATCAAAGAATTGCTCTTTGTCCTGCTTTTCCCAGAAATAAAATGTTGTAGGGTGATTTTCAGTCCCTGTTTCCACCTTGGAGATTTCCAGGCAGGACAAATTTGACTCTGATTATTGCCTGAATATTCCAGGTTTGTGCAGAGTGCAAATCTGTCTTTTCTGTGGGATAATTATTTATCCCCGATTCCCTGTCACTCATTGCTGCGGTGTGGGGCAGGATCCAGTGCCCGCTGCAGGGAACTGGAATTTTTCCACTGTCTCCAGCGGCTCCTGGATTGGTTTGCCCTTTCCAGTGCCCAAAAATTATCCAAACAATCCGCCTGAGCGGGTGCCTGTGCGGACATTATCATCCCAATCCAAACAAAGCAATCCCAACTGCCACCGGAGGGATCGTGTGTTCTCATTCCAGAGAAATTTCCACGGGACAGCCTCCTGGAAGCCCGGGGATGCTGGCTGTTGTGACAGGTGTGCCTCCAGCCCTGCGGTCGCTCCGATAAAATGATTATTCCCTGGCAGAGCTCGGGAGAATTAACGAGAGCAACCCCTGCCCATCCCAACGTTTTCCTTTGGTCCTGCTCGTTAAACACACGGCATTATTTTCCAGCCGCTTCCCCCTCTCCTCCTGAATTCCCTCTGGGAAGTTGCTTCTTTAAGTCTGCTCTTTTTGCAGTCTGATGTTATTTTTTTTTTTTGGAGATGGAATTTTTTACAGAGCCTGAAGGTTTGGAGGAAGATGAGTTTATTTCTCTTCTCTAATTCAATTTAGTTGGGGTTTTGTTCATTTGCTTTAGCAAAGATGTGCCATCCAAAGCCCTCTCTGTCCCTCAGCAGCTGAGATAAGAAATGCCAAATCCCCAAAATAGAATCCCAAAATAATCTGAGTTACAAGGGACCTTCTCATCCCATCTCATTCCACCCCCTGCCAAGGGCAGGGACAACTTCTACTATCCCAGGTTACTCCAAGCCCCTTCAAATATCTCTTAATTTGTTGATTTTCCCAAATTTTTTTTCCAGCTGCCCAGGACTAGGTTTTTCCTGAGAGTTGGAATCCTACTTTGGAATATTTCTGTATTTACACTTCCCATCTTTATCATCTGTCAGCAGTTTCTGACCCGTGGAGCAGCTGATGGTTTGGGAAGCAGCATCTTCCCCATATCCCCTTTGGGAAGGAGAAAGGCTGGAGAGAGCCCTGCCCCAGAGTATGGAATCCCAAAAATCTGAAATCCTTCATAAACCCAGTTCTGTGTTCCCTGCCTTGCTCCCACCTCCACTGTTAAGGGAGAGCCACCAACTTTCTTTTCCCATAAAAATCTAGTTCTGGAATGGGGATGGGGTGGTGCACACCTGAACCTTGTCCTAAATTGCAGTCAGAATGCGGCCAGGTGGATTTGGGATATGGAATTTGGGAAGAGGTGCTGAGCCAGGTAGCCACAACCCCCCCGGACAGGTTTTCCTGCTGTAATTCCTGTTTAAACCTGCACCCCATTATCCTCCCTCACATCCTCGAGGATCATCGGAAACATTCCCTGTTCTCCTCCCAACCTCCAGACTCCGAGACAACTGTGGGCAGCTGTTTTATTATCCCAGCACCTCGTAACTCCTGGGAAGCCAAAATTAAAGCCAGGAGCGAACAGAAATCCCATTCTCCTCCGAAATGTGCGTGCCCAAAACGTCTTCTCCTAATGAGCCCCTTCCCTGCACCCACATCCCGCCCCTTTCTCATTACTCAGGGAAAAGATGCCCAAGTTGAAAGAAAAGGAAAATAAAAAAGTCTTCCCCACAAATTGCAGGTTTTCCAGTGGTGTTCCGAGGCTCAGGAGACCTCAGGGATTTGAACCAGCTGAGGTTTGAGGGAGGAAATCGGAGCTTGGGGCTCTCATTGGGAGCAGATGCTCAAAACCTCCCACAGATTTCTGCCCCTCCAGCTCAGCACTGGTTTCTCAACAGGAGATCCTGGGAAGAGATGGGGATAAATCCCTGAAATTGGCTGTCTCATCCCAAATTTAGCTCTCACATTTTCTGCCCTGGAAGGGCGGCAGAACGCTGAGTTGGTGAGGCTCCACCAGGGATTTGTGGCTGCCCCAGATCCCTGGCAGTGCCCAAGGCCAGGTTGGACGGGGTTTGGAGCAGCCTGGGACAGTGGTAGGTGTCCCTGCCATGGCAGGGGTGGCACTGGAGGGGCTTTAAGGTCCCTCCCAATCCCAACCCATCCTGGGATTCCCTGGCTCTTTGTGCTGCCTCTCCAAGCCTGGGCTGATCCTTCTGGAGACCCTGGAAGAGCCACAGTGTGAACACCACAATTCTGGAATGATAAAGGATGGAAAAGGGTGGAAAACCCGTCCTTGTGAGAGCCCCCTGATGCTCATCCTGCCTCCACCACCTCTCCCATATTTCTGTACATCCACAGTTTCCAGAAACACCTCCAAGAGGCTTTTCCAGACAGCCATGAGGAGCAGCCACGACTTACCCCAGCCAAATAATGTGAATCCCCAAAGATATTTCTTCTCTGAGAAAAATGCCATGAAGATGAGGCTGTGGAGATAGAGCCCTTCCACCAGGATCCAGTAGTAATTGGTTGCCAGGAAGTAGAGGAAGAAGGTGACAGCTACTTTACAGCCCACCTGCAGCGACCACAGAAGGACAGAGAAGGAACAGGGTGTGAAATTCTTGGTGGGGCGGGAAACAGAGGTGGAGAAAAGAAAATAATTAAATCGGAAAATTCTGTTCCGGGGTTTTTTATGAGGGGGGAAATCCGTGGAAGAGTAGGAAGGAAAAAAAGTGGGGGGAAAAAACTCCTGAGCCAAAGATGTTTTTTCTTACGGCAGGTGAGTTGGGAAGGAGAGAAAAAGAGATGATGGCCTGATCCTGCTGTCTCCCAGCCCGGTGAGGAGGGGCTCACACACTTCCTAGAGCAGTTTGGTTTCGTCTTTCCCTGTATTTCATCTTCTCCCTCTGTCCCTTGTCCATGTTGGAGGCCAAAGGGCCTCGGCCAAGTTGTCCTGGTGCCACAGCACCTGGAATTACAGCTCCTTCCAGGAGAGAACAAGGTGGGATGAGGTCACCCCATCCTGCCATGGATGTCCACGCCAGGATCCTCCGGGGTTGTTTGTCTGTCCTCAGCAATCGGGAGCCACTGCAGATGGTTCCTGCTGCCTTTGGAGCCGGGAGCTCCAAGAGCAAACAGAGCCTGGAGGTTTCTCCTTGAAAAACCTGAGCTGCAAAGGTGGGAGATCTGGGAGAGGCTTCCAGGACATTCTGATGTTAAACGGGCTCCTACACTCAGCTCTCGCTCCACACTGGGATGAAATCCTATAATTTTTTTGGAAGCAAAACCCCAACTGTGACCCAACACTCCCATGGGGCAGAGCGGGACAAAGCCCCTCTTCCCAAATTTCTCACCTCCAGCAGACAAAGGCTGCAAAATATTGGTGCCACTTTGGGTTTAATCAGTACAAAGCCATTCCCTGTCACTGTGGGTGTCCTGGGAAGTTGGATTTCCCAGGATTTCTGTGGCTGCCCCATCCCTTGGCCCAGCTTTGTGCTGTCCCTTCCTTTGAGAGGAATACAAAGGACTGACAGAAAATGACAATTGTAATACCTTGGAAATAAAAAGAGATTTTTTTTATCCCGGTACAGCTCTTTTGTTAATTTTTTGTCCATCAATATAGACATCTATACATATATTTGCATATTGATAAGATATGTACACGTTGCACTAATTTTTTTTTTTCATAGACAGAAGAAATTAAAATAGGTTCATTAAAAATCCCCCTAAATGAATTAATATTTTTTATATTTATGAAAAATCCCTACAAATTACTAGGCTTGGTAATATTTTCTATATTTATTTTTCATATTTATTGCCTCATGCAGGGAAAGTGAAGCAAAAACTGCCAAGTCCCCACTTCATTTGGATACAAAATAAATGAATTAATTGTCGCCTTCATCTCTTGTTTGCTTCACTATTCTGAAGATTGGGAAATGCCATTAAATGCTAATATCCAAAGAATGCCATGGATTATCCTAATTATTCCTTATAATGAGCTCGCCATGAGGAGAAACACCAAACAATGCAGTGAAACATTTTGTGTTCTGTCCAAAAAATTGAGAGTTTTGGAGCGAATTGAGTGAGACTCTGTAAATGAATGACACAGATCTTCGGGATGGGAAAGGAACACAATGACAAAGTCATCCCAGCTGGACACTCGGATGCACAGTGGGACATTCCCAAACCCTCTGATTTTTCACGGGGTGGTGCTGGTCTATGGTTGTAGCACAAGCTGGGAAAGACTTGAGATGCCAAGCAAATCCACAGGCGGGAAGGTTTATCCTGGGATCCTTGAGGTTGGAAAAGATCTCCAAGGCCATCGAGTCCAACCTGTGCCTGATCCCCACCAGAGCACCAAGTGCCACATCCAGGAATTCCTTGGACACCTCCAGGGGTGGGGAATCCAAACCCTCCCTGGGCAGTTCCAAGGTCTGGCCACCCTTTCCACGAGGAAATTCCTGCTGGTGTCCAGCCTGAGCCTCCCCTGGACCAGCCTGAGGCCGTTCCCTCTCCTCCTGTTCCTGTTCCCTGGGAGCAGAGCCCGACCCTCCCCAGCTGTCCCCTCCTGGCAAGGAATTGTGGGAAGTGAGAAGGGGCCAGATCCAGGATTCCATTCCATGGATTCCATGTGAAATCCTTGATGAAACCAATGACAGGGAGAGCCGAGAGTTTCAGGATGTGGGAAACGTGAGGATGGGCTTCATGCCCCCAAGCACATGGACAATGCAGATATTGCCATCAGAGATTTCTGTACAGCGAAATCCCCGTGGAATTTTGGAGGCGAGTCCAGCTGACCTCAGTTCCAGTTTAATCTTGGGATGCTGAGTCAACTCGATTGACTCAACCAATAAAGGGAACCTGAGGTTCAGGTTGGACATCAGCAGGAATTTCCCCATGGAAAGGGTGGTCAGGCATTGGAAGGAGCTGTCCAGGGAGGCCTGGAGTGCCCATCCCTGGACGAGTCCAAGGAATTCCTGGATGTGGCACTTGGGGCTCTGGGCTGGGGACAAGGTGAGGATTGGGAACCAAACAACCATTCCAAGGTTGGATGACCTTGGAATTCTTTTCCAAGCTCAGTGATTCTGCCCAAGGTCCCTCTCACAGACACCACCTCCTTTATGCAGATGAGCCCCGCCCTTTTTTACGACACCACATCCTTCCCCCATTTTCCCTTCCAAAATGTCTTTTTTTCCAAATGGGAGGGAGGAAAATCGTGCATTCCCCATCCGTGGAGGTGTTACGAGCCAAGCTGGATGTGCCTTGTGCTGGGATGGTCGGGAACGTTTCCACAGCCGTAAATTCCAGGGGGTCTCAGGGGAATGTAGGTGGGAATCAAACCATCAACCTTGACTGCCATGAGAGAAGCTTTTCCTTAGCTCAGGGATGGGGAATCCCTCTGAACCGATGGATTGAGAATGGGAAAGGACGGGAAGAGGCTGTGACAGATGAGTTGGGTGGAAAACTCCCCAAAAAGAGGGTAAGTGTTGAACAGGGAGGACAAAGACATGAATCCTGCGAAAATGCTGCTCTGAGAATACTCACAAACTGCGATTTATCTGCTGGAGGTGCTTCCGTGATGGATTTCAAGTCTTCCTCGGAGATCCGCTCCATCTCCTCCAGGGCTGACCCGGAGTACAGGACCGCGTCCTTCACGAAGATGCTGACGGCTCTCAGCATGAAGGACACAAACAGGTGCATGTGGATGTAGTTCCTAGTGCAGTGCAAACGTCTGGAAGAGGAGAAAAAGGATTGGGAAGTTTACTCCAGCTGTTGGATGGAGTCAGGGCCTCTTCTGGCTCTGGAGAGCCCCAGCTCCTCCCACCAGCGCCGTGTCCCCATTGGGAGCAGAGTGAGGGTCACCTCACTCCCTGCTCTCCCTTGGCCTTGGGAAATGGATTGACACCTTCTCCAGGGGCTTCAGGGAATCATGGAATGGTTTGGGATAGACGGGACTTCAGGCCCACCCAATCCCACCCTCTGCCATGGCAGGGACACCTTCTACTGTCCCAGGTTGCTCCAAGCCCCGTCCAGCCTGGCCTTGGGCACTTCCAGGGATCCAGGGGCAGCCACAGCTGCTCTGGGAATTCCATCCCAGCCCCTCCCCACCGTCCCAGCCAGGAATTCCTTCCTCAAATCTGCTCCAACCCTGCCCTCCAGCAGTGGGAAGCCATTCTCGCTCTCCTATCCACACTTGCCCATGGATTCCAGAGGCTCCAGAACTTGGGGCCGCTGGAAACCTCATAGAGCTTCTTGTAAACCATTAATTTTTATTTTTATTTTTTTTGTCCAGCTCAATTTAGGAGCAGCTCCAGCAGAAACTCCGGTGTGCTGGGCTGTTCTCCCAGTTTTCCTGCTGTAAATGTGATCCTTTGGAGCAGTTTGTGGGCTCCACCCCAGCAGCGGCAGCAGTGACCCCACAAATCCTGGTTGTAAAGCGCTTTAAGGTCCTTTTAGGAGGAAAAAGCTTTTTTGGGGATGGTGAGAGGGGAATGGGTCAGAACCAGGGAGAAGAGGTGCATTTTAGAATCAGGATTTTTGGGAAGAAGGAACTGACCTCTTTGGGTGCCCTCCATCCTCTGGAGCTCTGGATTTATGAATGGATTTATATCCTCTTAAAGCCCAATAACCTGCACTAATTAATGGTTATGTTTTTATCCCTTTTGCAGGACGTTATGATAACATCACCAGTTGCTCTCTGAGCTTTTATAATCCAAATTACACCAAGTGGAACTGATGAGGTCTAAATTGGCTTTGCTCCCTGCGTTTGAAAGGGAGTCGGAGTGAATCTCCGGATTATCGAGGATAAAATCTGGCTCGATCCCTACTGCTGCTCTGATCCTTGGGATAAAGATGCTCCACCACAGCTGCCCAGGTGGTCTGGGCTGGAAATTAAATGCTCTGAGTGGGATAAAGACATGGATAAAGGAAAACCAGGAATTCTCTTGCACATGTGGACATGGAATATTTTAACAACCTTGCCAGTGTCCAGTGGGAAATCAGTGGAAGGAAAATGTTGGGAGAACAGGAGCGTGGTAGAGGGATGGGGTCTGCAGCTCCCTTTGGATTGGGTCTGTCACGGATTTGGGATTTGCTATCCAAGCAAACTGCCCTGACACCTTTTGCTGCCTGCCGAGGGCTCCGAGCACTCTCAGAGCCCAAAGCCCCACGTTTCATTCCCAGTGTTCCATGTCGAGGGCTTGGCTCGAGCTTCCCAAGTCCCACTGCAGACACCACGTGGCTGTCGTGGCCCCCACCAGCTCTGATCCACGTCCCGCGGGTTTTTTTAGGAGAAGACACGAGCAGACATCGAAGGGAAGCAAATCTGGGGCTCAGGGTTTGGGGTCACCCTTCTCTGTCGGGTCACCAGACAGAACATTCCCCAAAGGACAAATTCCTGGATATGGGTGACACCTTTCATCCCTCCCACCGCTCGCTGTCTGTGCCTGCAGGAATCCCAGAATCCCAGAATGGTTTGGGCTGGAAGAGGCTGTAAATATCCCATTCCAACTATCCCAGGTTGCTCCAAGCCATGTCCAACCTGGCCTTGGGCACTTCCAGGGATGGAAGATGCAACGCTGGATCGAGGAATGGATAATGAGGGTTCAAAGTGGTATTTAGGGGTTTAAATCCCTTGGCAGGGGTGGTGGGAAGGGAGGGCACATGATGGGGTCAGGAGGGTAATTTTTGTATCTCTGGGAAGAGCAGCAGCGTGGGGAGATTGGAGAAATCAGCCTGGGAGTTTTCCATCCATTTCAACTGCTTTATCCTTCGAGAACATCCGGATTTAGAGCAGAATTTCCCTCAGGAAATCATATTTCTCTGCAAATCAGCCACCTAAAGGTAAACCACCTGTGGGGACGATAGGGACAGAAAATTCCTGGACAGTCTTCCAAGGGATTCCTGGAAGATTTGCTACAAAAAGGGCCTGGAAAACTCCACCTGAGGGAAGCAGAAGGAATTTCAACATCCCACCCGCCATCCCGTGGGAAGTTTTCCCTAGGATACCCTAACACAGCCCAAATCCCAGATGCCACCACCACCACTGGCGGCTTCCTGAAGCGTGCCACCCCATTTTTATCCTCCCGGAAAAACCCGAGGCTTTTCCAGTGTCACTTAGGTAAAAACAGAGCCGCCTACCTGAAATATCCCAGGATAAGGACAGCAACTGTGAGGGATCCCAGGGAGATGGAGTATCCAACAGTATAAATCAAATAGAGGCGATCAAAGACCTCCTGCAGCAGAAACGATGGAGAAAACAGCGTCACACGGGGAACTGCTGCACCACACAACCCTGGCAGCACACAGAGCCTGGATCCTTGGGGATTCCCGTCTTTTTGGAAGCTTGGGAAGCGGGGTTTGTGTTCCCTGAGGTGGGGAGGTGGGATTTTCCCCGTGGGATTTTCCCCAAGGGATTAATGATGGAGTGGGGTTAATCCCATGGCTGGGAATCTCGCGGCATTTTCATCCCAGAGGAACCCAAAGTGCTTTACAAACTCCTGGCCCAATTCAGGGATCACTTGGGAATTTTTCCTGGACAAAATCCCTGCTGAGCTGGGAATTTTGCAAGGGATTAATGATGGAATGGCGTTAATCCCATGGCTGGGAATCTCACGGCATTTTCATCCCAGAGGAACCCAAAGCGCTTTACAAACTCCTGGTCCAATTCAGGGATCACTTGGGAATTTTTTCCTGGACAAAATGCCTTCTGGGCTGGGAATTTTGCTGGAATTGCACAATTTAGCCGTTGCTGGATGACTGATGTCCAGCCTGGGCAAGTGTAACCCACACCAGAAAACACGGGAAGGAAATGCTTTGGCTATGGGATATGAGGGAAAAAAAATCACCTGCGTTTATTTTTCCCGTTTTGAAATCCCAAGCAGCCTCTGCCTGTGGTTATCCAATCCAGACACAACCGGAGCTTGCCAAAATCCCATTGGAAAAGATCCTGTCACAGGGTAGTTCCTAATAATTAATCCTTTAGGAATTAAGAATTTAGGAACTTAAGGTTGCTGTTTCCTGAAGTTGGCCTCGAAACCCTGAGGTTTCCAACAAACATCGGGATATTTTCCTTGATCCTGCTGGGACTTGCAGCTGAACTCAGGGATTCCTGGAAAGGGTTAAAATTCCTGCCCACTGCTGTCCCGGCCTGTCCTGCTTTTCCCAGACCGATTTTAGCAATAAATCCCAAAAAACCCTACAAATTCAGCATCTTTCTCCTCATTCCCTCCTTCCCCTCGCCCTGCCCACTGGGCTGCAATAACGTCAGGAATGCTGGGCCCTGAATGACAGCTCTGATTGGGATTTGAGGCTTGGAACGCTGTCCTGGAATGCCAAACCTCAGCCCTATTACATCAGAATCCGCAGATTTGGGAATGTTTCTCTGCGGTTTGCGCTGGAGGAGCGAAGCCCTTGCCAATATTAATTTACTGAGTGTGTCTGTGCGTATTTATGGGATATTTTTATAGATTTTTATAGATCTGTCTGTGCAGGCAGCAGGCCCTGAAAAGCCAAGAAAAGGAGATTTCAAAGCTTTCAGGGAAAAATATCCTGGCGTGATTTTCCTGCTGCCAAGCTGGAATCCTCTTGGAGCTGGAAAGCTCCGAGTAAAAAATATAAAAAAGCTCCATAGTAAAAAATGTAATGATAATATAAATAAAATATAGAAATAAAAATAGAAAAAAAACTACTACTATTATAAATAATGCAAATATAAACATAACTATATGTAATAAATAATATATATATTATATATATATAAAATATAAATATGTGAAAATATATATAGTGAAATATTTTAAAAAGTAACAATGATGATGATGATGATGATGATGATGATGATGATAATAATAATAATAATAATAATAATAATAATAATAATCTTTTCACTCCAAGGTTGGAATTCTCAGTAACCCAACAGAAGGAGGTGCCCCAAATTCCACCTGGAGTCACTGGAAAGCTGTTGGGAAATGTGATTTCTTGGATGAGTTTCTCAGATCTTTGGGGAAAGCCTTTGGAGCAAAAAATTGAGTCTCTCCACTTCCACTTCTCCCTCACTTGGAGCTCAGGACTGGTTGTTCCCAGGAGCTTTTCCTCCCTGGGTTTACCCATGAGGGGAAAAAAATCTCCAAAGGAATTCCAAGTCTCCCAAGGGATGTCCTGGCTCATGGAAACCACAATGAACAACCAGGAAAGGTCCTCCAGGTAGGGAAATACTGAATGATCTGCAAAGACGATCTCCATGGTTTGAGGAGCATCCTTAGGGAGCTGAGATGGATGGGAAGTTAAATAATTCCCAGAAAACCACAAAGGTCACGATGGCCAAGCCACGGACACAACGTGGAGCTCCATCACTCCAGGGAGTTCCCACCTGAGGCCTCCTGGAAGCCCAGCCTGAGGAGACCATCCCTGGTCATCCATCGGTGGAAGAGGCCAAACCTGGCATTGCCGTGAGGTCCTGGTTTATTAAGTGTGATAACAAAACTTGAATTGACTTTAAATTTAATTTAAATTTAATGATAATTTAACTAAATTAAATTTAATTATCATTTAATCGAAGCATTCAGGGCTTCATGGAGGTGTCCCTGCCCACGACACAGAGCTGGAACTGGCCGAACTTTAAGGTCTGTTCCAACCCCAACCAATTCAGGATTCCATGATTCCACAAATTTGATTCCTGCAGGAGCCCTCCACTTTTTCAACTGCTGCCATGTGTGCAAAAGGAAAAGGAAAACCAGACAGAGCAGGAATTTTCTGGTGGCAAATCCTATCCTGAGTTTCATGGTTTGCTGCTTTGAGTGATAAACAAAGCCATAAAATCTCTGTCCTTTCTTTTCTTGCCTTTTTTCTCTTTTTTCCCTTTTCTTTTTTCTTTTTTTTTTTTTTTTTCAGGAAAAATGGGACTAAATAAAAAGCTAAGTGGGATATTCACACAATGGGATATTCACAAAATGGGATATTCACAAAATGCGATATTCACAAAATGGGATATTCACCAAATGGGATATTCACAAAATGGGATTTTCACAAAACGGGATATTCACAAAACGGGATATTCACAAAATGAGATATTCACAAAATGGAAAACTTTAAGTGCTGATGATCCTGTTCCTGCAGGACTCTGTTCCCCTCATCCACAGAGATTCCAGGCTCTTAAATCCCCCCAATCTGAGAGTCGCTGGGACTGGCTCTCACAAAAGGCCCCCAATTTAGCCTCAGACATGCCAATTTAGACATGGATGTCCACAAAAATCATCTTTAAGCTCCTTTCCAACCCAAACCATTCCAGGATTCTGGGATTCTATTTCCAGGAAAGCACCGCACCAAATCCACAGGCATGGAATGAGGATGGCACCTCGGGGTTAATTGAAATTATGAACAAAACACCTCTCGGATAATTTGTTTTATTCCTCCACGGCCTTTAAAAACCTCTGCCCGCATCCTGCTGCAAATGCCTGACGCTTTGCTGGCACGCTTTGGCGGAGTTCGGGATACAACAATCCAAACCCGTTCCTGTGCCGTCACTTTGAGCCTCCACAAAGTTGTTTGCTTTTCCCAGGACCCCAGAGAGCTCCAGGATTGTTGCTTGGAACAATGGAGTTTAGATAAAGCAGCCCTGCAACACGCTGGGCCCTTCCCATTGTGTTTGGAAGGGGATGGATTCTCCAGGCCCCTCCGAATTCCTGGGAAGCCGTAAAACCCTCACGCTACAAACAAGCAGGAGCAGATGAAGACAGGGTTGAGGTTGGATCTTAGGATGGCCCATCCTGCTGGTGGCTCCCAAGCCGAGCCAACCTCCCAAGTTGCTGGCTCCGACTCCCCTTCCCTGGGATTTTGGGAGAGGGAGATCCCACTCACCCTTCAGCTCATCCTTGGGAAGAGGATGGGTTAGACCTGCCATAAAAATAAGCTGTGTTTGGCATCCCTGCTCTTTTGGGGGAGATGGGAATGAGGGAAATCCCTGGTTTTTGACCCAAACATGCCATTGCTGCTGCCAGTGCTGGAAAAAGTGACCAGAAAAAGGATCTGGCTGCTATTGGCTGGATGTGTGGAAAGAAAGGGATCCGCAGTCGGCGGCTCGACGGAATTTGGGGAGGAATGGGCTAAAAAGCTGCCCGAGGATCATCACTTGTCCTTCGTGCTGCATTTTATCCAAAGAGTGAGGAGCTCGAGGAATACAGGTCACCCTCACTCCTGGTTTTAAGGGAATTTAGGGAACAGAGGAGAAGGGCCAGGCCAATGGTTCTTTCAGCTCTGCTCCCTGTCTCCTTTGTGGCCAGGAAGGGGTGCTTAGGGAAGAGTGTGGGAACAGAACAAATCCACAATAAATGTGATTTGGAGCGGCTGGAAAGATCCAGAGGAGGTCCCGGAGCTGCTCCAGGGTTGGAGCCAGGCTGGGAGAGCTGGGAATGTTCCCCTGGAGAGGAGAAGGCTCCAGGGAGAGCTCAGAGCCCCTTGCAGGGCCTGAAGGGGCTCCAGGAGAGCTGGAGAGGGACTGGGGACAAGGTTGGGTTCAAATTGAAAGAGAGTCGAATTAGATGGGATATTGGGAAGGAATTCCTGGCTATGGAGGTGGGGAGGGATGGGAATAGAATTCCCAGAGCAGCTGTGGCTGTCCCTGGATCCCTGGCAGTGACCGAGGCTGGACACAGCTTGGAGCATCCTGGGACAGTGGAAGGTCCCTGCCATGAGGGACAAGACCACCCAATGCCACCCCCTACCATGGCAGGGACACCTCCCACTATCCCAGGGTGCTCCAAACCCCATCCAACCCAGCCTTGGACACTGCCAGGGATCCAG